CTTTATGAAATGGTATCTCTTGTTGATGTGCTTGGTCTTCTGATGAAAAATAGGGTTTTTAGTGATAGCTATGGCTGAAGTATTATCACAATTCATTGGTGTTGCAACTGTTTGCATTTCACCAAAGTCCTCCAAAACAAATCTCAGCCATGTAGCCTGTGCAGTTGCTTCAGATGCACTAATGTACTCTGCTTCAGCTGTTGATAATGCAACACATTGTTGCTTGACTGAAGACCAAGAGAAAACTCCACTGCCAAAGGTGAATGCATACCCCGATGTACTTTTCATATCATCTTCTGAACCGCTCCAGTCACTGTCACAAAATCCAATTAAGATTGCTCCTTTGCCTTTCTTGTATTCCAAGCCAAAATCAAGAGTCCCTTGAACATATCTTAGTACTCTCTTTGCTGTACCAAGGTGCTTGTTGGTTGGACAGTGCATAAACCGTGATAGCAGACATGCAGCATACATTATATCAGGTCTAGTTGCTGTGAGATACAGCAAACTGCCTACAATTTGTCTATATTGAGCTTCATCCGCAGTCCCACTTTCATCTTCTTTTCTCAATTTATCACTTGGAACCAATGGAATACTCACTGACTTACAGTCTTGAAGTCCAAATTTCTTCAGTAGAGAAGAAGCATATTTTCTCTGATGAATGAAAATATACTCCTCAGTTTGCATTACTCCCATACCAAGAAAGTGATGTAAGAGTCCAAGATCTGTCATTTCATATTTGAGCATCATATCAGATTTGAAATCATCCATCAATTCCTGACAACTTCCAGTGTATATTATGTCATCAACATAGATAGACACAATAATCATTTCTGAACTTTTCCTCCACTTGGTATACAGAGTTGCTTCACTAGTGCTTTTCTTAAACCCACAGAGTGTAAGGTATGAGTCTATTTCACCATACCAGGCCCTTGGTGCCTGCTTCAGACCATACAGTGCTTTATGTAACCTGTAGACCTTATCTTCTTCCCCTTGTACAATAAATCCATCCGGCTGATCAACATACACACTTCTTCTTCTAGTACCCCATTCAAGAATGCCGATTTTACATCCAATTGAAACAACTTCCATTTGTTCTTTGCTGCCAGGGCAATTAATGTTCTGATTGTATCCAACCTTGCCACAGGTGCAAAGGTTTCATTATAATCAATTCCGGGCTTTTGTGCATAGCCTTTTGCAACAAGCCTAGCCTTGTTCTTTTGAACTGATCCATCCAAATTCAATTTAGTTTTGTACACCCATTTCACACCAATCACAGGTTTATCAGATGGTCTTTTTCACTAATTCCCAAGTCTTATTTTTCTCAATCATGCTGATTTCATCTTTCATAGCTTTCTTCCAAGCTTCATCCTGTGCAGCTTCATAATAGGATTCTGGTTCAACAATACACACATGACATCTTTCATAGATTTCACTCAAACTTCTATATCTCAAAGGAGTATGATCAATCTGAGAGATCAGAGAAGTTGAGTCACTAGCACTTCCAGATTCAATGAGTGGAGAATCTGTAAGTTGAGTCTGAGAACCTTCAGCAACAGCTTGTTTCCATGGAATCCGAATCCTCATCAGCTTCTTTCATCTCTGAAGATTCACTTGCAGCAATTGGAATGTACACTTCTTTGATCTTCTGTCTATCCCAATCCCATGTACCATTCTCATCAAAAATAACATCTCTTGAAATGATTACTTTCTGATTTTCAGGATTAAGCAATCTGTACCCCTTTTCACAAGTGCCATATCCAATAAAAATACCAATGACACTTGTTTCATCCAGCTTCTGTCTCAGGTTTCCAGGAATAAGAGAATAACCTAATGAGCCAAACACTCTCAAGTGTTGAATTCCAGGTTTTCTTCCATTGAATTTCTCAAAAGGTGTCACATTTTCCAATGCTTTTGTAGGACATCTATTTAGCAAGTAGACAGATGTAACTACAGCTTCACCCCAAAGACTATAAGGAAGACCCTTTCTCATGAAGCATACACTTTGCCATCTCCACTATAGTTCTATTTTTCCTCTCTGCAACTCCATTCTGTTGTGGAGAGTATGCAACAGTAAGCTGCCTCTCCAAACCCAAAGCTTCACAAAACTGTTCAAATTCATTTGAGGTAAATTCTCCTCCTCTATCTTTTCTCAATTTCTTCACTGAAAAACCACTTTGAAGTTCCACCATAGCTTTGAATTTATTGAATACATGAAAGACATCTGACTTGTGTCTCAAGAGATATATCCAGCACATCCTCGAATAGTCATCAATGAATGTAACAAAGTATCGATTTCCACTCATGGTTGGTGTTTGCATAGGACCACACACATCTGAGTGTATAAGTTCCAATGGCATTCTTGCTCTCCAGATTGACTCCCTTGGAAAGGACACTCTATGATTCTTACCAAATGCACATCCCTGACATACACCTTCACTGTCATGCATTTCAGGTAACCCAAGAACCATATCATGCTCCTGCAATTGTTGCAAACTTCTAAAATTCAGGTGGCCAAACCGTTTATGCCACATTGTACTACTCTGATGCACATTGGTTTTCAGTACCAAATGATCGTTTGACTTGAACACAAGTGGAAAGCATCTGTTTCCTTTTTGTTTCACACTAACAACTAAATTTGTCAGAGTTCTATCATAAAAAATATCCACCTTATAATCACCAAATAACAGAAAATACCCATGTTCAGTCATCTGCCCAACACTGAGAAGGTTTTCTGCAATTCCAGGTACCAACATAACTTCTCTTATGTACCTTTTTCCTTTATCCGTATCAATGACCAAGGTTCCTTTGCCTTTCACATCAACAAGAACCCCTGTGCCAACTTGCACTTTTGCCTTAATACTTCTATCAATTTCCACAAGTAACTCCTCTTTGGAAGTCATGTGATTACTGCACGTACTGTCAATATACCAGGCATCACTCACAGCTTTCACTTCAGTTGATTGCTTGACCATGAAGAGATTTCCAGGTTCTCCCACCTTGTTTGTAAAGTTTCTTTGCTCTCCCACTTTGTTTGCAAAATTTCCTTGCTGAGCATTTTTGTTTTGATTGCAGATCCTAGCAATATGACCAGGTTTTCCACACTTGTGACATTTAATCTTCCCTTTTAGCCAACATTCACCATAGTGAAGTTTATCACAGTATTTGCATGCCCCTCCAGTGTTGTTAGCTTCATTTCTTACACTTGGAGTAAACCTATTAGTCCACTGCTTCCCTTTGAACTTGAAGTTCTTCGGATATTTTGATCCACCAGTATTGGTATGTTGATTACCAAATTTACTATTCTTAGATGAGATATCTAAGCTAGCAAATGCACGTTCTGTGCTACTCTCTTCATGTCTGATTAATCTCAGTTCAAACCCTTTCAATATGGCAACCACATCTTGTGCATCAATTACATCAATATCTTTAGTATTTTCTATAACAGAAGCAATGCTATCATATGTTTTGGGTAAACTGATCAATAGCTTTTGCACAATTCTCTGATTACTAAGATCTTCTCCATAGCTTCGCATCTGATTTATCAGATCAAACAACCTAACTAAATATGCAGCTAGAGATTCACTTTCACTCATACGGGTATATTCAAAATCACGACGCAGACCTTGTAATTTCACAGATCGTACCTGTTTGTCCCCTACATACTCTTGCTTCAGAATATCCCAAGCTTCTTTCGCAGTTTCCAAAGTTGCAATGCGTGGAAAAATTTGATCCGATACGGCTCCCTGAATGATTCCAAGAGCCCTTGCATCCTTGACCAGATTTTCACTCCGCAACTTCGTTTCCACCTCAGTGAGGTCTCCTTCCCCTTTCGCTGAAGTGGTAAAACCTTTTTCAACAATATTCCATAACTCGTGAGATTGGAAGATTGTTTTCATTCGAATCTGCCAGAAATCGAAGTTTTCTCCGTTGAACACCGGAGCTCGAAGCTCCCCTCCACCAGATCCAGCCATGTTAGACTCAGATCACACCTCTCTCTACTATTTCCTTTGCAACGATGTGTTGCAAACACTTGCTCACTATCTCTCACAGAATTGACGCCCAGAGATTCAGACCCAACAAGGCTCTGAGGCCATGTTAAAATTAGAAGAAAATGTAGTACAACAATGGAGGATATGCTGCAATGACTAGAGTGAGAGAGAGGGAATGAATGAGAGCAGAGAATATGACTCTGCAATTCTTCACACACACACTGTTTGATTGCTTTTTTTTTTTTTTGAGAGAGAAACATCTCTCTACACATAACAGTTACACTTCCAATCTTTTGGCAGTATTCAAAATTACATCCAAGTAATCCTAGCCATCCATCTTACACCCTATGAGATGAAGACACATGTACACTCACTTACTTAAGAACTAAGAGACTTAGATAAGAAAGCATACAACCAATTTAGCTAAACATCCTAGCAATATAAGCTAGAAATACAACTACCACATCAGATCACAATTTACACACTAACATTAAAAGCTTGAGCAGCTGGGTCACTTGACAATACGGATTCAATTGCCACTCTCGGCAGCTGTATAGATGTAACTAAAACTGTTTACAATATATCCCACCTTTAAGATAATTCCCTAGCTAATTAGATCACAGACAGGCTTGTGACAACGTGGAGCCAATGCTAATTATTTGTCGACAAATTTTTTCGTAGCAATTAATATTTTTCCTCGTCATTCTTTGCAATTTCTAAAGACAACGTGGCACTTAATGTTTTGTTCAGTGTTGACATTGACTCGCGAGTTGTTCTTGATTAGTTGGAAGAAAAGTCGATGTGATATTTCGCTAATGTTGTCTCGTCACTTGGGTCCTTTACCACAAATCATTTCATGCAACTGATGATCTTCACCGTACCACTTCATCTATATATATGCATGAAAATCAGATTCCGGAGCAAAGCAACACAAGTTTTCTACACCAAAATATTTCTTAGAGCTTAAATTTATCAGATCATTTGAAATCTTAACAGAGAAATTTTAATACCATGGGCTTCCTGATAACATTCATCAAGGTACACAGATGAATGTTTTGCAGAAAAAGTATAAGAACTGTATAAGAAGAAATGTAGAGAGAGAATCAAGAGAATGCAGACTTTGTTATTTCTTAGAGATAGAAAAGAGATAATCATACTACGATTCGATACAAGCTTATATAACAGCCAAGTGTAGCTTATCAGCTAAGCTATCAATGTAACTAACTTTTAACAAACTAACAGACTACAATAGCTGATGTGGCATTCCTAACTAACTGTGATGATGTGTCAAATGATGTGGCAGTAGTCATATATCTTCAACATTTCCGGTTGCCTGGTATTGCACATGCTAAGAAAAACCAACCACCATCAAGCTCGTCAGATGTTCCTAAAGGTTATTTTGCAGTCTATGTTGGGAAAGGGGAGAGCCAGAACAAGCGGTTCGTGATTCCGGTTTCATATTTGAACCAGTCCTTTTTCCAAGATCTGTTAAGTCGAGCTGAAGAAGAATTTGGATACGATCATCCAATGGGTGGTATCACACTACCCTGCAGTGAAGATACCTTCATCTCACTTCCCGTTTGTGTGAGTAAACCCTAAGGAAGTGAATATGTGTTCCAAATTCATGCCCAAAGCATCATCATTTTGGAACTCGCGATATATCAAGCTGAAGAATAGGCTAAGATATGATTTAATATATCCAAACGCCTTCTTTAGTCGTCAAGCTGCTCAGCAGTAAGATACACAAAATTAAGTAGTCAGAATGACCATGTCATGAACTACAAAAAGAGTCAAATGCTTTCTTTGAAGCCCGTATGGTGTAAATTCTTCATTTGTAATTCTTCATCCATTCTTGTCTTATACTTTTCATTTTACTTCTTGGCATTGAACTTGTTATCGGTGCTTGTTAAGATTTGTATCTAATATTTAGGAGTTCATTTTAATTTTCTCATTGAATCATTAATCTAGAGCAAGTTATGTAACTTTCTTTGTACAGTCTTTTATTGTATCATACACACAAAATTCTCATACATTACCAATTTTACATAGCATTGGAGCAAAGTTCCCTGAGTTTTTGCTTTGTAGCCCTCCACTACAAATCCAAGACACTTTCCACAAACAATATGGGTGATATTAATTAATAAAAAACTAATAGTCGAAATATTCTTTTGATAAGATGAGAGATTTTTTATATAGACTTTTAGGAATTTAATTTATGATTTGTAGTTTTGACCTTCTTTCGAGAGCTTAGCATTCGACCATCGTTTTAGATTAAATGCCTATTTGAGACATGGTTTTGAATATTCCTACTAATGTGAATTTGAGGTTTGCCGATTAATCTTCCGCATTAAGTCACTAAGTAGGATAGGTAGCACTTATTTATGAACGAATTTGAGAGTGTTACACCAACGCTACTGCCGACTACACTCTCTTGTGCTCAACAAGTCGTCCATTGTCCAGGCCAGTGAAACTCTAAAATAAACTTATTTGAGTGATATTATAGTATAAATAAATAAGTTTATTTGATGGATTCTTTGTAGGGCTCACTCTACATCGTATTTCAATTATCCAAACCATCCATCTTTTAGGTGTTTCCTCATCGATCATTTCTACGAAAAATCACCCAAATCCGAAACCATTTGGCCACTAGATTAAATGGTAGTTATATTAGTATTTCTTTGAAAAACCATGTTCGTCTCTTTTCTTCACTACAATTAGATGCCTTAATAGTTTTGAATTTGCCTAATTTTTTATAAAGATGATCTATGAATGTTGTCAAAATATGTTTATTCTAGCTAATTGCCCTAAAAATTTCATGAAAATTACAAGAAATGAATCGGTGTGGATCATAAATACATTTAAATACTCCCTCATGTGTTTTGGAGAGCAAAAATGAAGTTTACATATATAGGATAAAAGACAACTTTACCACCTTAGACCATCTCCAAATGAGATGTTAAACACGTAATAATATTTTAAGGCAGATAGAGGCTTCAACTGATATATCAATCTTATGTGGATTCTATTGTGTGCTGTCAATTTTGACATATGAGAAAATATGATGTCAATATTAGATAAAATATGATTTCATTTCATGAAAGGATAAAGTTACACTTTGAGTATTTATGTACAAGTATCTTGTAACTACTAAGGAAAAACAAATATAACAAACTAACAGATTCCTTAACCACTAAGTAATATCCCTAGATGTTGTAGTTACAATATTGCCCTTTATATCCCCCCTCAAACGAAACTGAGGTACTTGAAGATGAAGTTTGTCACGGAGGAACATGAATCTTGACTTGGAAAGAGATTTGGTACAAATGTCAGCCACCTGATCTTGAGTACAAACAAAATGCACAAAGATCTGTTTTGCCAAGACTTTTCCTAAATGTAATGGTAGTCTATTTCAACATGCTTTGTCCGAGCTTGAAAAATAGGGTTCTTGGCAAGAGATATGGCTGAAATATTGTCACATCATAGTTGGGGAGAACAAGGCAAGCAATAACCAATGTCAACCAACAGTTTACATATCCAGGTAATCTCAGGCACAGTGTTGGCAAGAGATCTGTACTCTGTCTCTATGGAAGATCGTGTTACAGTTGGATGCTTTTTAGCACTCCAACTAATTAAAGAGTTTCCCATAAAGATACAATAGCCTCTAGTTGATCGTCTATCTAGAGCACAATCAGCCCAGTTAGCATCTGAGAAAGCTATGAATGAAGGATTAGTTGAAAATTTTAAGAACCATAAGCCAAGATCAATAGAACCCTTCAGGTACCTTAGGATTTGCTTAACTGCTTAGAGATGTGAAATTTTGGGATTTTGCATGAATTGACATACAAGGTTGACTGTAAAATTGAGATCTGATCTTGTCCAAGTAAGATATTGTAGAGCACTAACTAATGAACGATACTCAGAAGCATTCTCAAGTAATAAAGACTCATGATCAAGTTTAGAGGTGTTGAGTGGTGTACTGCAAGGTTTAGCTCCAACCATTTTGGCTTTAGATAACATTCCACGATATATTTTGTGTGAGATATGAATATGCCTCAAGATGATCTTTTAACTTCTATGCCAACAAAATAATGCAGAGCTCCAAAATCTTTGATTGGAAACAATGAGCTGAGTTGTTTAATCATTTATTGACATGCTGCAAAAGAATGACCAGTAACTAAAATGTCATCCACATAGATTAAGATGAAACCGAATTTTGAATATTTTTTACAAATAGAGAATGGTCACTTTGAGAACCTTCAAAGCCAAGAGAGTGATGAGCCCCATGAAGCTTCTCATACCAAGCTCTAGGAGCTTGTTTTAAACCGTACAAGGATTTATGCAAGTGACAGACATGAGATGGCTTGGTTGAATCTTCAAAGCCAGAGGGTCATTGCATGAAAACAAATTCAGTGAGTGGACCATGTAAAAAGGCATTGATTGCATCGAGTTGGTTTAAAACCCAATCGTATTGAGCTGCATGAGTGAGTAGAAGCCTAATGGTGACTGGTTAGCTATAGGACTGAAGGTTTCAGTGTAGTCTAAACCTTCATGTTGATTGAATTCTTTTGCAACTAGCCGGGCTTTGTACCTATCTATAATTCCATTTGGTTTTCTCTTGATTCAAAAGACCCATTTGTAATCTACAAGGTTTTGAAATGAAGACTTAAGGACAAGAGACCGTGTGCCCGTATTGATAAGGGCATTAACTTCTTCTTACATTGCTTGATGCCAATGAGAGCGATTTGAAGCTTGAAGATAGTTTGTATGTATATAATCCACTAAGAGATGAGAGGGAAGTGGATGTTTAGTAGTCGTGAGGGTTTTAGGCTTGAAAATGCCAGACTTTGATCTTGTTTGCATTGAATGAGTGTTGATTGGTTGAGGTGGAGATAAAATGGGTGGTGCTGAGATAGCCACTAAAGAACCTAAGGTTGTATTTGTGGAATTGACAAGTGGAGGATTAGTAGTTGAAAGTAAGGAGGACAGCTGAGGTGAAGTAGAATTGGTATAGATAAGTGCAAGAAAAGGTATGAATGTAAAAGTAAGAGTGGATGGAATAGTTGAATCTGAATTGGTATTAGAATGTAGAGAAATAGGTGGGGAGGTTGATATATGGTGAAATAGGAAGCTTGATTCATTGAACAGAACATGCCTAGAAATGTACATTCTTTTAGTTGCAGGATCAAGACACTTATAGCCCTTATGATGCAAACTGTAGCCTAAGAATACACAGCCTTTACTCTTAGGATCTAACTTTGAAGAAGTATAGGGCTTTAACCATGGGAAGCAAGCGCAACCAAATACTTTTAAAGAAGTGTAAACTGGTGGTATCTATTAATAAGGTAGATTGTTGTGTCAAATTCCTCAACCCAATAGATATGAGGTACTTTAAAGGCTGCCAAAAGATTCACTAAATGGCGATGTTTGCACTTACACACCTATTTTGTTCAGGGGTGTGGGCAAGTTGACGCTAAATACCATGTGTAGCCAAGAATGTTGAGAAATGAGTACTCAAGTACTCTCCACCCGAATTAGATCTCAAAGCAATAATTTTTGTACATAGAGAGTTTTCAACCATAGACTTATATTGCATAAAAGTGGACATTACATCAGATTTGCTTTTTAAAGGATAAAACCAACAATATCGGGTATAGTCATCCACAAAAATGACATAGTACCTAAAATCTTGAGAAAAAGTTATAGGTGATGGTCCCTAAACATCTATATGAATAAGTTATAAGGGGTTGCTTGTTGTACAAGTAGTAGAGACAAAAGGAAGCCTAGAACATTTACCTAATGCACAATTTAAGCAAAAGGATTTATTGGTATTTGATAAAATTGAAATACAAGATTGAGAGGCGAGCTTATTGATAATCTTGACAAAAAAAATGACCCAAACATTGGGGCCAAAGATCTCTTGAAGCTTTCATAGATGCAGTGAATGATTTATGTTGACCATTAGGAGGAGAGGAGAAAAAGAATGGATAGAAACCATGCTTGACAGGTCATTTAAAACGCTTTATTCCCGAAGAAAGATCATTCACAGTGAAGTGAGAGGGATAAAGATGCAAAGAACATTGATTATCAATCAGAAATTGATTTGCAGAGAGAAGATTGTGTTTCAAAGCAGGCACATATAACACTTTATTGAGTTTAAAAGCATTTGTAGAAGTATTCAAAACAGTAGAACCAGAGTGAGTGATGGGAAAACCATTGCCATCACCATTGTACACTTATTTAGGACCGATGTAAACTTTAGGATTTTGAAGAGTTGCATAAGAGTTGGTCATGTGTGAGGTGACTCTTGAGTCCACAAGCCAAGTAGGATTGGAAGTTGATGTGCTGGCAACCATAGCTGAATGAGAGGATTTTCCACCATAGCTAGGATTCATGCGATGAGACAATCACAAGCCTCGTGATCGAACTGATGACATACCTGGCAAGAATTTTTCTTATTATATGAAGAAAAATTATTTCAACCTCCACGATTATACGCTGATTGTTGTTTTTGGCGAATTTAATTGTTGGATCTCTGATTGTTATACGATCTGTAATTGCCACGATTGTAATTACCATGGTTTTAATTGCAATCTATTCCA